TTGCCTAAATTTCGCGGTATGTCACATGTTGATCTTCCTCAATCAGCTTACGCACAGCATCAACGTTTTCTTGGGTGACTGCAGTTTTTGGACGACCTTGACGGGGATCATCACTGAGCTTGACACGTCCGCGTTGAAATTCAGCAAATCAGCGATAAATTGTGGTTTTGGATGGCGCTTCATTACTAAATGCAGAAATCATCCGGTCAACATACTGTTTTTGTGTTAAACCACTTCGAAAGTCATAATAAATCATCGCTCTTGAATTTTCTCAACGACTAAATAAGTTTGACAAAACCTTGTGACAAGACCGAGAATCTTTTTTTAAATAAATAAATGGTATTCGATTTTTAAAACCAAGGAGTTTTCAATTAAAAAGATTTTAATATGACAGGAACAGTGGAAATATTCCACTCCCGATACTTTTAGTGCAGCCTAGGTATTGTCTTATGGTAAACAACAGTGAGTCAACAGCCTTTAAAAGGTTACAATATATTTCTAAAGTATCGGCTGAGTTCGCCCATGTACAGAAAATATGTTTAATCAAGCTCAACAAAGACATCACTTGTAGAACAGCCCGTTGTAAAACAAAACTGTTTTTTTACTATATAACATTTCTTATGTACCCTTATACCCGTGTAATTTTTATTTTTACAGTTGAAGAAGAAGTACACATAATTTGATAACTTTAAAAAAGTGAACATACTTCAATTTACATAGGACCTATAAACATAATAAATGCATACTCGTCAAATTATAAACAGAAAAATCACGTAACTAACCTAAGATATATTATGTTACATGATGAGAATTTGTAATAGATCAAATACTTAGATTAGAATTGATTAGCGCTCTTTAACTGAAGTGGATTTCCGCTCAAAATTATTTTACTATTCTTGTAGACTTAAAATTTACAAAATCATTAAAACATCTTCATGATCAGCCTCTAAAAGTTAAATGCTGGACCACTTTATTTCCCTATTAGTTAGGCCTGATAGTCAGTTTGCGTTCAATGACTTGGTTCGAATGCATGGCAAACAGCAGCTCTCTGCCTATTGACCCCGTTAGCGGCTAATTTATCCACCACATAACCAACGGATAATTCACCGCCACCCCCCATTCTATCCCAGCCCCATTACCAATAATGAGGTCAAATCTATTATTAAAAATCTTAAACCTCGGAAAGCGCTAGGCGCTGACGGAATTAATAATAAAATATTTAAAGCCTTTTAGTGGCAATTTTCCAATGTACTACTATCAAACTGCATTTTTCCAGGCATATGGAAAGCAGCAGATGTCATCAGTTTTCACAAGCCGATAGCGCATCTAGCTACAGACCCATCAGTCTCCTGCCATGCCACGGAGAAAATCTATGAGCGTGTCATCCTCAGCCGGCTGGAGGATGTGGTGCTATACAAAGACCTTATTCCTAATGAGCAGTTGGAGTTTCGAACCAAACGCTCATGTATCCAACAGTTGCACCGCTTCACACGGAGCACATCTTAGATTATGCTACAATGTTGAAAAGGCACACTGCATATACTGGTGATCTGTTCTTCCGTGTGGCTAAAGCTTTTAACAAAGTCTGGCACAATGAGTTAATTTGTAAGCTTCTCCTATTATGAGTGCCTATAAGACTAGTCAAAGTCATACAAGATTACTTAACTAATCAATTTCACTTTTGCGTTGAGGAGACCTTCTCCTCCTCCAGACCCATCAGAGCAGGAGTTCCGCAGAGCTCGGTGCTCTCCCCAACTCTCTACTCACTCTATGTGAGTGATATCCAGATTGCACTTTGTATAGTTGATACCACAATCTATTCATCCGACAGCAACCCTCTTAAAACTTGTATTCGACTCCAAACTGCAGCAAACGCACTAGGTGATTAGTGCAGAAAATGGAGAATCAAATTAAATCCTGGTAAAAGCAAAGCTATCATGTTCAACGTGAAAACTCGCTTTAAAAATACTCTTCTCAGACTCAAACGACACAAGACCGGTAATAAAATCTATCAAGATCTGCAGGCTTTATTGTTTAAGTTCTATGCGAACAAAATTACGAGGGGAAAATAGTAACTAATAAATTCCACCCATCGAACATGTGTTTCCTCGTCGAGATGAGGTTTTAGGGACGATTAAATAATTCATTTGTTGGAGTTGAAGCTATTTGCTACAATTTGCATAGAAACGAGATCCAACCGAAGTCACAAGCTCACAAGTCACAAGAAATTCAGATTGTGTCCAGATTGAAAAGAACCGCGCCTAAAGCACTGCTCTAAGGGAAAGAATTTAATTTTCTTCGCAAAACTCGTACATGATCCGGTCAATTTTATTTGTAGTTACTATCGGTATCGATATTCGATCCATCCATCCATCCACTACAGTTAAAAGTCTACTGCTGAACACAGTCCTCCCCAATGTATAAGGTGTGTTTGTATACTTGATAGCATTTCATAGCTTGCATTATGAAGACGAACATGGCCATGTTTTCTACATTTTCATTTTACTTTAATTCCACACGTATTTGCGTGCGAAATAATTTTCATAATATGACTAAGCATAAATTAGCAATAAACAAACTAATAAACCACTGATACGAGATACCAGGCGCAAAATTCATATTAAGTGTGTATTATGGCATTTTAGGAGAGTGCGGGACCTTTAAGCGAGCGTCTATACTGTGTATTCGCGACTGGTCGTCTCTTTTGGTAACATGGTAGCTGATTCTAATTTTTTCAAACACTAAGCCAGCCAGCGACAAAGCATATAAAATTTTCTTGACACTATACCACAGAATAAATAATAATTTATAATAATAATACTAGACTATACCGTATACTTGTATACTTGGGGAGTGCTTTCAGCCGGGATGGAAGATGTGATTTAGATGTGGATAGGCGTGTCGCTGCCGGAAACAAAGTCAATGGTGCCCTGAATGCATTAGTAAAAAAGGCAAGGCGTGGTGAAGAGTGCCTTGCAATACATAATGCAGTGTTGGTACCGACTTTGTTATATGGCAGCGAAACCTGGGTATGCCAGAAGAAGCATAAAAGCAAGTTGAATGCAGTGGAGATGCGATCTCTTCGTAAAATGTGTGGCGTTACCTTAGCCGACCGAAAGCGAAACGAAGAGATTCGCAATATGGCAGGATTGAAAGATGACCTTATCACAAAAATTGATAGGGGCGTACTTCAATGGTTTGGGCACGTTGAACGAATGAGTGAAGACCGAATGGTGAAGAAAATATATAGAGCGAAAGTAAATATTAAAAGGTGTCGAGGTAGACCGAGACTAACTTTCGAAGACCATGTGAGCAAATTGCTCGAAGAGGGGAGGGTCAAGAGTACTCGGATACCTAGACGTGCATGTATGAAGAAGTTAATGAACCTGAAGGAAGCGAAAGAGGTATGTAAGGATCGTGACATTTGGCGATCTGTTCTCTCTGGCTACCCCGTTAGGGATTGTGCGTGAAGATAAGTAAGTAAGTAAGTAGGACTATACCGCGAGGAGTACTACTATGATAAATGATAATGTAAGATATATTGAGTTTTGTGTTGCGATTAATATTGCCTATGTGTATTACACATTATTAATACCATATGCAATGTACTATCAAGTTCTAACTAAGTTCGTTTATCGCATTAGTTTTATAATAAATTATTTAATAACTATTATTAATACATTATTTTTATTAATTTATAATAAAACCAATGATTTCATACGTGGCCTAGTGTGCGGTCAATAATTAAATCATTGCTTTATATTTAACTCAATGATTTAAATAGTAAAGTAAGCTGTAACAATATTGTATGCTGCTGTATTTTTTCTCGTTGTGGATTAAAACTACCGTAAAATATTATGTAAGTGTGCATACTTTACTGAAATAAGTTTATTTTTATTATTTGTAAATTATAATAGAAACCTAATGCTGTATATTACATATACGTATACTATATTTATATATAGGTAAACATAACACAGGAACACTCATCTGAAATTACATTTTAAAATTTAAATGTGTTTCGCATTTTACCTCCGCCTCTTAGCCGGTCTCTGACGTAAATGTAAATCATATTATGTTATATTCACCATCAAAGGTTATCTCTCAAGAGTTAAAAAAGGGTAAAATTACGCATAATTGTATAACGGGAACATTACATTTATTTATTTTTCTAAATAGTGCAAGTAAGAATAAAGTTACAGGTATTAAAAAAAAGCTTTCAAGTGTACACGCAGGTTCCGTGTCCTAATTTTAGTGGTATCTAGTTTTGTAGAAGTAAGAAATAAATGACCACACAGTTACTAGGAAGTATATATGTATATTATATAAGTGGACGCTTAGTCGGCTAAGAATCGAAATATACCTATCTGCATAATATGTCTCTTAAGAGACAAAATGGAATTCCCGTTAGCAACAAAAGGGTATCCAGTTCTCGCACTCATCATACGCAGCATCGTGATGCTTTGTCACCCTAACATTTTGTACAAACGTAAGTTTTTCCCCGGTCGACGTGATCCTCGTGTTGCCACCATATACAAAGAAGAAAATTGACTCTCACTTTTATATGTTAAATAGGACAAAATCGTATGGTTTGATTGTACTGTAATTTAGGTGAGAACGAATGCATGATATTGATGAGTGTGTCCACTTAATTGTGTCTACATGGTCTTTAAATTAATATTTGAAACGGTCTATTATATATAAATATAATCCGTTAAATATAATATATATAACGGACTTGATCATCGGCATACAAAAGGCATTTGACGGTTAACTCGCCCATTCTTAACCCACATTCTTCATCTTAAGTGGATGGCCAGAATATACATTAAAATTAATCCCACCGTAAATAAATTGGATTCGGTGCAATTAAAAAAAACATGTACATATCAAACTGAACAAATTTATTCATTATTAACGTTCCTTAATAATACATACTTAATATTTTATTACCAAACATGAACTAAATAATGAAATACAATACAAAAATTTAACACACTTTAAAAAGTGGCAATATCACTTAATGGTACCTTTGAAAAAAATGCAACTAAATTTTTAAATAACTTTTTCGCTGTAACGTCCATTATGGGATCTCCGAATTCCTTTGATATCTGTTTCCAATTCTCGTTCAAGAAAATAAGCATTGGCTCACCTGCAAAAGTGGAAGAAAAATTAAGAAGAAGAAAAATTAAGAAGAGAAGAATCTGGTTTTATTTAGCCCTTTTTGGATTACATCAGACAAAAAATTCATGTAATAATATATTTTCATTTTAATACATAAGAATAAAATTAAAAATTATAATCAGTATATTCATACATTACTTTTATTAACATGAAAAAGATGTAAAGATTTCTCTTCTTCTCTTCACTTAGTTATTTATTTTTACAGTTAAATAATATCAGGTAAAATAAAATTTGGTATAATATAATGGATAAATTACATACATAATTCTGTGAAAGTTTTTCATTATGTACATTTATTTATTTAAAAAACTGTATTTCAAAGGGAAAACTAAAAATAAGTTTAAATAACTTGTAGATATTCTAAAATACTATTTATTTCACTTACTTAGTTCCTTGTTTCCATTGAACAAATTTGTTAAATCGAAATTTGCACCATCCTTTACATCAAATTTGAAACTATATGACTTTGGTATTAAGAAAACTTTTCCCTCCTTTTCTTCCTTTTCGTAGTTTATTACCAAAATAATTGCTAAATTTTCTGTAAATAAAATGTTTCTTTTTATGCAATATCAAACAATTTCTTCTCACACATATTATTATTTTTAAATTGTGACAAATATGAGTAATGCAATGTAGTTGAAATGCTATAACTATTTGTAATTACAATTTTAATAAGCAAGAAAAAAATCAGTGTAATGGAGGTGTTTCAATCTACATTTATTTTCATGTGCTAAAATACCCACATCTGTAACAATTATTATTAGTAGCCCATAAAAATACTGTTTCGAATCGAAATAACAAAAATACTACTGAGCCGCGTACATAAAGCCACTGCACGATAGAATCTACATATTTTTCAAATATTCATTTAAAAATATGTAGAATCTGTCGTGCAGTGGTTGCATCATCAACACCGTTATTACAGCTCTCCATGAGTCTACTGCTGAACATAGGCTTTCTTCAACGATTCATCACTAACATCATCATTACAGTCCTTCATGAGTCTATTGCTGAACATAGACTTTCTTCACCGATTCATCACTAACATCATCATTAACATCATCATTACAGTCCTTCATGAGTCTACTGCTGAACATAGACTTTCTTCAACGATTCATCACTAACATCATCATTACAGTCCTTCATGAGTCTACAGCTGAACATAGGCTTCCTTCAACGATTCATCACTAACATCATCATTAACATCGTCATTACCGTCATTCATGAGTCTACTACTGAACATAAACTTTCTTCAACGATTCATCAGTAACATCATCATTACAGTCCTTCATGAGTCTACTGCTGTATATAGACTTTCTTCAACGATTCATCACTAACATCATCATTACAGTCCTTCATGAGTCTACTACTGAACATAGACTTTCTTCAACGATTCATCACTAACATCATCATTACAGTCCTTCATGAGTCTACTGCTGAACATAGACTTTCTTCACCGATTCATCACTAACATCATCATTAACATCATCATTACAGTCCTTCATGAGTCTACTGCTGAACATAGACTTTCTTCAACGATTCATCACTATCATCATCATTACAGTCCTTCATGAGTCTACTACTGAACATAGACTTTCTTCAACGATTCATCACTAACATCATCATTACAGTCCTTCATGAGTCTACTGCTGAACATAGACTTTCTTCACCGATTCATCACTAACATCATCATTAACATCATCATTACAGTCCTTCATGAGTCTACTGCTGAACATAGACTTTCTTCAACGATTCATCACTAACATAATCATTACAGTCCTTCATGAGTCTACAGTTGAACATAGGTTTCCTTCAACGATCCATCGTTAACAACATCGTTACAGCCTTTCACGATTCCACTACTAGACATAGACTTCCTCCAAGAAACGAATTAAAATATGGTCCTGAGCTAACTGCTTCCATCTTTTTCATGTATGTCTTACCAGGTCACCAGGTCAGCACTCCATCTCTATGGCTTTAATGATTAGCCTTGTTTAGTAAATACAAGAAAAACTCTGTGGTCACCTATAAATAGCTTAAATAGAAATAGGCAATAAATATATAAATATTTTCAACCTACACTTATAAAGAAAGCAAGCTGAAAACTAATATATTTATTTCTTACTCATTTTCAGTTTCATTTGTCCATCCCCACTTATAGGCAAGATGAGGATGCGGCCAGCCGCTGTGTAATGACCCTTAAGGCTGCAGTCAAGGTGAAAAAATATTTCCATTTTCTCTTTTTTCAAGATCCCATCTATAATAAATTGTAAACACTAATTTTAAAAGTTACCTTCCTTTTGGTAAATAAAGCAAAATGGATTTAACGTGGACAAAAAATAATGAATTAAACGATATTTACTATCCATTAAACTGTTAAAAAGTTTAGACAGTTGTACTTTCCATTTAACTATATTAAAATCCATATTATATATAAATATTTATATATATATATATATATATATATATATATAGTATCTTTACGGATACTAAAATATGTAAATAAATTCTTAGCAAAATGGTATTTCTACAAAAGAATACAACTAACTTAACGTTATCTACAATTGAATTCTTCAATCCTTGCAAGCGACCGTCCTTTAAACCAAACTTGAGACCAGCCAAATCGAAATTTACTTCATCCATTTTCATAACATCTAAAATTTCAACACCCACATCCGGCATGCCAGACATAAATATTGGCATTGCTTTTTGAAAAGCCTGTATCAAACACGACGAGTCCTTTAGTTTACATTTTTCGACTGGTAAAACTGAAAAGGCAGCAATTAATTAAAAAGTAAGTACCTAATAGCAATTTTGTAACTTATTAGATAATGAAAAATTAAAAAAAAACATATTGATATAATGTTAAAATTCGTATTGATAAATAATAGACAGTGATATAAGTAATACAGTTAATATAAAAGCACGATCTTTAAAGAACAATCCACATCAAATCAACATGGTAAAATAGTAAATTAAAATAGAGCTTTGAATAAATCCACCACCAAACATATTAACATGTTACTATGTATGTAATATGTTAATAAGGAAAAAGTTCAGTTTTGTTCAGCTTCATATACAGAGTGTCCGGTAAGTAATTGATAACTCTGCAGGTACCAGTACCCCTGCAGTAGCAATCAGAAAAAAATAAAATAAAAATATATCTGCGGCAGTCTGGATATTTTTTTTTAAAGTATGAAATTCGATACTTCTGTTATTATCTATGATTATTAAAAATACCATATGATTTTCTCTGGGAATAACTAAGCTTGACCACTTATAAATGTAAATGTAATATCACTAATCTCTAGATTCCGCTTCTCCGTACCCATAATTTGCATATTCATTTATTCCTAACGTTAAAAAATACTTTAATAGAAATTATACCACAAACTTTAAAAATTATTTTGATTTGAAATGGCCAGAGCTGCAGAACGACGATTTCATAGGAGAATACCTATTATATACATTCATACAATCAATAAACTTTAACCTTCTCCTGTGGCAGTCGGGTAAAGTCGAGTCTCAGAAAGTCGTGTGGTTTTCTTAAATCGTAACACTGCTTGCACTATTTTCATTTTAAAAATAATTATTGTTGAAATTGAATGGAGATTTTAATTTTTAATTATATTTTTACTTCAATATTAATATATAACTCGAATAAAATTTGTATTGTGCTCGCATGAAATCAATTAATATAACAAATAAATACTTTGCACTGCATAAATTATTTTAAAGTATAAAAACGCTCACAAAATATTTAACACACTGATCACGGTGTGGGCCTTTTGTAAATTAATACACATTAAATGCACTTTTAAAACCGATTATATTTAAACAAAGATAACTTACCTGATGAACTGACGATTCCTACTAACATTATTTTAAACACAAAAATCAAATTCAACATATTGCTCTGCATCACAGCTTTATAATATGGCTTTAAAGTTAACACCGCACTAATGTTAAATTATGTTTTAAGGGAATATATATTGACTGCGAAGTGGAGTTGTGTGCAAAAAACTTGAAGTGCAACAATAAATTATATTATGATAATAGTTGCAGTTGTGAAAATAATTCCTCATGCATTTTACACCATTACTAATATGACTATGAACTATTAAAACAATTATATAATATGACATTAGCTACCACTTAAATGTATGGAGTATAATAACACAGTTAATTATATATATTTTCATTCATTTAAATTACCGCAAGAGCTTGCAATGTCTTACGAAATGGACCGTAACTTCCTCCTACTGTTCCTATAACAATTCTAGTCTATTTTCGCTATATAAGTTACATTTTTTGAATTAAACTATTATTAGTTTTATGTCTAAAATTTTAAAACCTAGGTAAGGAATAAGTTTAAGCGTTATTACCGATAAGTGAAGCAAGATTTTTTATAGGAGTACACCGTATTGCAGACTTCTAGGCACTGAAAACGATTTCGTAACTCGAGCTGAAAGTTTTCGGGGCGTTGATTTCATTAACCGTGACCTCTCAAACTTAACGTTTATCTTTAGTGTACCTTTAACTCTTTGGTGATCGCTGCCAATTTTTACCCTCGCGATCACTGAGACATCACTGAACAGTCACCGTCTGGTCGTCAAAATGAAGTCTCATTATTTTGTGGAACCATGGGGTTCTACGAGGTCTAGTTTCTGTGAGGCCGCTTATGAAATAAAGAGTTCGTCATAAAGAGTCCCTCTTTCTCCATGAAGTCGGCCAGTTGCTGGTCCCTTGGGTTCTGTTTCATTATCACGACTTTCCCTACCATTAGCTGACCGTTTCCTCTTACGCGTAGTTTTGCTTTGAAGTCTCCCATTAACAACGTATAGTGATTTTTGGAGGAATGCATGGCTTTAGAGACATCCTCAAACATTTCCTCCACCTCATCATCTAGATGTGCCAAGGTTGGTTCGTAAACCTGTATAACCTTTAGGGAATACCGTCTGGTGATTTTGAGTAAGAGATACGCAACCTTCGTTGACTACGTCTCAATCCTTACAATGATGATACAGATGGTCGCTCTTCCAGTATATTACAAATGCTGGATTTGAGGATTACCGAGTCCTGCCCCTTTCTTCGGACCTCAGATAATCCTATAATCAGAGGCGGCCCTAGGGCGGTGCGAGCGGTGCGACCGTATCGGGCGCCGTCATCGGGAGGGCGCCGAAATCAACCGAAATGCAACGGGCACTGGTCACCGCCTCATATAACATTCCGTTTTATTGACTCAATGAAGTAGAGAAATAATAAATAAGAAAGAGGGTATTTTGTTGATGATGATGATGATAGATGGTAGCACCCAGCCATTTTCTCCATTGAACTCTTACGTCAGTAGTTGTTAGGACTACGCAGGGTGTTATCGTTGGGTATGTTCACCAGTTCACACAGACACACATGTAAATGATAACTCTAACTTCGAACGAGAAGTTAATTGAGCGAATCCAACTCGACTGAGTTTCGTGTAGTGTATATATTCTTCGACTGAGTAGCGTTCGGGAACTACGACACATCGATAGATATTCCTCGATACATATTTTTCAATGCCATAAAACAAAGAGTGTACAACCAGTTCTTATTGCCAGCATTCACGTAAGCATCCAATCTCTGGCAATACACTTGTTCTGGTGTATTGAGATGGATTGGCCTGGTAAGACGTGCAGTAAGTCGATAGATAAAGACGGTGACTCAGTACCGTGTTTTGAGGCATTTTTTGCAGGAGATTTTTAAAAGGAGAATTGTGTATATAAACTTATGAATCTTGTGAGGAGCTGTAATGGTCATGATGATGATGATGAGGTATTCAGAATAAGCCACAAATCATCAATAACAACTTAAAAATAAGTCTTTATATCATAACAAATCACTGTATCTAATTACTATTTCCACTTGCCACTATATTCTATTCTACGTTTATTTCAAACGCTATTATGTTATAATGTGGCTATTACTGTCCTCCGTTTAAATCGAGTTCTGAAGTTATTCCGCAGAACGTCAGAAATTTTCACTTTGCTATGTTTATTTCTTTGTTCGTTCCACCGCGTTTTCAACGTGACTTGACTTTATAACGACCCACTCCACACACATAGACAAGAGTTTTTTATTATTTTCATTATTTCTTTGCAACTCTTGAGTATGTTAGGCAGTAAAACCCGCCAAGTTTGTTACGATATTATTTTCACCTCAAAAATGTTTTGTTTATACGTCCTTAAGTTTTTTACAGGATATAAAATCTAATCCTTATCGTTTCGAAGAGTTTGTGACAATGGCGTCAATCGCAGCGTATTGTCGCAATATGATGTTTTCCGTCACTTAGGACCATTTCTTCAATAACCCATGCGATAGCAGTACTACATACGCTTGACATACTGAGCCGATGTTGCACAATTAAACAATACATATCTAGGTATTATTCTACGCGACGCCACAGCGATACGACCGCCTCGCGACTTTATTTAGTACATCTGTTAAATTAAAGTATCCTCTCGCAGTTACAAAAAAAAATTATTTTCATTTGCCACTAGCCGTCATAACAAATAAAGTTCATTAACCAAATATATTTTTTCTTAGCAATAAATGTTAAAAATTTTCAGTATACACGACAATTTTAAACTTTAACCTTCTATTGCTTTCTGGGTAAAATACCACGTAAAGCTTAAAACACTATCATCTAGCAAATTTATTTATTTATTTTGCCATATTATATCTTGTTTTTATACTGACTAGTGCGTTGGATATCTTGTCTAGATTTTCAGCAATATTTTACAAAAAAAAAACATTTTAAGATCTAAAAAAGTTTGTTGTTTGTGTGTATGTGTATGTATGTCCATACTGTCGTATGGAAGATTTGCCTTATTCGTACCTTCGTTGTGTGATGTCTTGCACTCTTGCAAGGGCACTTTTGCACCGCCATTATACGAAAAATCTTCTACAATCTTTTTAATCCCTTTTGTTTACTTATGAAATATTTTTATGACAACAACCTATCAAAACAACTTACCGAAAAAAGACTTAAAGAAAATACCTTACAACTTATCAAAAAATGACTAAAAGACGTTTTTTTTCCTTGATCTAACATGCTCTTATTAAATGTGTGCCTACAGTAAACATAAGTGTTGACCCTTAACGAGTTATTCCATATCAAATTAAAAAAAAATGTTGTTTACATTTCGACAATGACCGCTAGTTACTAGACGTGGCTAAAGGTTTTACCTGACTAACCATTTTTATACAAGTAAAGTTGACTAAAGAGTACCAGTCCAGCTTGTGATAAGTGGTTGCTGGTTGCTGTCACCGACACTCTTCCATATGTCATCGAAAATGAATCAAAACACAGATGCTTTGTCACCTTTGAAAACTAGGATGGAATCTCTTATTACCATTAAAAATAACTCGAGCTCTCTACATTTTTTAGTTGTTATTAAAAAGATGCTGTTGTCAACCTCCTGGTTTGTTTTTACTCTTACATCACCCACGGGACGATATGAGTTATAGGATATTCTTACACTATCACTACACGGTTACGGCCTGGCAAGTGTAGCAAATATGGCAAAACTTCATTATATTCAGTCATATCTGAGGTAATCTAGGGGGAGCTCTTTGTTCAGCAGTGGGATTTTGATCAAGTCGACGAACTCGTGTTACAGCTATAATACAGCTGCAGCGTAACTCTGCCGCTTAAAACATTGACTACCATTATATATTATTAAAGTGACAAACGAACCCACAGTCCATCTAATATAAAGTGCAGCCCATGGACATCCCCAACAACTTTAAATTGAGAAAACTACAGATGTGTTATCACCTTTGACAACTTAGATGATTCTCAAAGCTTGTAATTAATTATACCAGCTTTGTGTACCCTTATACCACACAGAAAAAACGCAGTACATGCTCTTTTCTTTCTTGGCGGAAATAAGTAGGAAGATTTATCTTTCCAAATTTACTTAGGAGGGTTTCACAGGAGATGCATAAAAGTCCTACAACCTATCTAAAACGTTAAACGTATACTAAGTTCTTAATTTATCTCCGCCACTACTAGAAATTCTCCTGTACCGTGAAACATCTTACAAATATAAATTGCATAGACAAACATCCAGACACGTATTTGTTCCAAACAGGAATCGAATATGCGTCTCGCATATTCTTATTCTATCTTTTCAACCAAATGCTTAGCGACCGCTCTACTGAGTCGTACTATATTACTATTATTGTGAAGCTAAATTCATATGTATATTTTTTTTATTTCATTTGGTCAACTTTATGGTTTCGAATTTAACATTTGATTTTTCGTTTTAAAATTATCATCAACTTACGGAAGCTATTCACACAATAGGGATATATTTAATTAATTTAGTAATATAACCACCATGTTGGAACCATGTAGGGAAACCTCATAAGATAAATACGTCAAGTATAAGAAAATTAATTAAGTAAGACAAGCACATTATTATTCGCTTGGATTATATACTTCTAATTTGTATTGTAATAACAATGAACAGAACAATGAAGCCGTGGTAGCTCAGTGAATAAGCGCTCGCTATAAATAATCAAGTACGCGCGGCGGGTTCGAACCTAGCCGGCAAAAATGAAATTGTTAATTACAATTTTAAATGCTGATTTACCATGTGCTCTACATGACATTTAAAGTCTACCAACACGCCTTAAGGCAGCGCGGCGGAATTTTTCTAGAACTAAAACCTTCTCAGAAATGAGAACAAGCCTATGACCTAAAGATTTCCTCGTGGGGGGGGGGGGGGGGGGGTTAACCGCAATTTTTTGAAGTGCAAAATTATTTAAAATTGTGATTTCAAACTCTATAAAATGAAATAGCGACACCAAAAAGAGACAATAAATACATTTATAAGA